TGTCAATAATGGCACTACCAATGCCTATCCATCGTCTTCGGTATCGTTGGTTGAAGAAGTGACGAACTATTAGTGAGCAATGACACAATGCACCGTTCTGTAGAAGCCATAATCGTCGTCTTGTTTCCATGTCCACATCTTCCAATAATTATGGTAATTCATTCTGCAGGAAATTAAGATATGCTGCGCCGTTGACATTCCCATCGAAAAAATAAGGTCCTATCAGATAACCATTTATTATACCGCACCAAACTACGAGGCTCCATCTATGCTGATGATTATTATGGCGATTGAATTGCCCATTACTATGAAATGTAGCTTCGTCCGAAAACATTACGTATCTGAAAAATTCAGTATCTTAACGAATCCATGCTTGTGCCCAATTACAGAATTCGAGTCTGCGGCGGAGATCATCTGGCATCAAAGCTTGAGTCAAAGACCAATGCGACAACAGCCCGACACAAATAACATTTTATAAAAAATAATGATCACATCTCACGTATGTATAATTGTACTTCTCGAAAAAATAATTATTTGTTATTGTACCATTATATTTCGCATAAAAAATAAAAAATATCGTTATCGATAATTCACCTCCTATTTATTCACATAAAAGACATAATTAAGCAAAAATAAATTCACAGAAAAATTGTACCTTCTGTAGACTAAATTGTACCATCAGTACAGTTCTATAAATTTGTTTCTAACAGAAATAATAGGACAATTACAAAGCTCTCCGCCTGCGCAAAGTACATTTCCGGATGACATCCTTGTAAGTTGTAACAATTAGTGGTAATTTGTAATTGTCCTATTATTTCTTTTAGAAACAAATTTATAGAATTGTACTGATGGTACAATTTAGACTACAGAAGGTACAATTTTTCTGTGAATCTATTTTTGCTTAATTATGTCTTTTATGTAAATAAATAGGAGGTGAATTATCGATAACGATATTTTTTATTTTTTCTGAGAAATATAATAGTACAATAACAAATAACTATTTTTTCGAGAAGTATAATTAGACATACGTGAGATGTGATCATTTTTTTTTAATAAAATGTTATTTGTGTCGAGCTGTTTTCGCATCGGTAGTCAAAGTTATTTGATACGGATGAAATCTATGAATCCGCAAAATTCTATCGGCTGTTGTTCTTAGGATTCCAGTACGTCTCTGAATTTCACGCAAAGAGATATGATGATCCAAATCAATCTTTGCCAAAACAACAAGATTTCGTGGATCATCGTTGTTCTATCCCATAATACGACGACGATTTCTGCGTATTCCTGGTCGACGTCTGTCTCTTCGTTCAATGATTTGGATTCTCACGTGGTTTGGATACTGAAGCTTCCCTGGGTAATTTTGACGGTCAAGGCCGATATCGTGCTGTAGCAAGATATTACCGTCTCGTTATTCGGTTGGGGGGAGGGGGGGCAAGATATTACCAGCAAGTTATTGAGTTATTACAATTTATCTTATCCTTGCCCGATCATCCCTGTGCATAGATGAAGAAAATAATAAATTTGACCCTTACATAACCTTACGCGGGTGGGACGTTAACCGCACCCCACACATAATACCTTATCTGAACGTAGAATTTCTCGGTCTTTCCGAATCCGGGATCAAAATTATAGGTTCCTATTCAAAAGATGACTTTGACCTTCAAATGACCTTGAAAATAAATCTCAAGGTCAAAACCGATTTCTGAAAAAGGTGTCCCTCATTGTCCCAAACAACTTTTGTCTGAACAATTTTTTTTGTAGAATGCCAACCACAGAAAATTTTGGGGTGGATCCTTTAAAATGGGACACCCTGTATAATAGGATGGAACTTCGAATTTGAATCAGTATTTTTTTAGTATGTATAGGTTTATTGAAATACGATTTAATTTTTTAAATTTAGGAATATTCTTTACCTCAACAGGAAAGTTTACGCCATCGAATTTCAATTCATTCGCAAAGGACGTATAATTTAGAACTCTTTTGCTATGAAATCTAGCTGGATTAAGACAGACAAGCACAGCCCATTTAAAACATTCATTATCTGTATTTTGAACATTGAGACATGCTTTTTAGTAGTTGAATATATGAGCCAGGTTTGAAAGGATTAAATTTATTAATATTAACAGTAATGCCGATGATAGTTTTTAATGTCCAATCGGAATCTTTTTCTTTATATTCTTCTAAATTGTTAAGTATAACATCTTCAATATTTTCTTTAAACCATAATTTCAGATCTGTCTTTCTGATCTACTTTAGTTAAATATCCTCTACATTATCTTTTACTACGGTAAATTGAGCTGACATTTCTATATTTATTTTTAGTGCATTATGAATTGAAAGATATTTTGATATTTGTAATTATAAGAATGTATTTGCTGCTTTTAAGAATGACTTTATATCTGTATATTCTTGATTGGCTATGAATGCAGTAATGATACATTTTTAAAAGGAAGAATTTATTTCACGCCAAATAACTCCATCCCCTTCAATTTGGTTTGGAATGACTCGTAATGGATTAACATTTTCGTTGACTTTTATGGAATTATTCAAATTGTTTTTAGTTGAATTCAAATGAGAAGCGCAAGTTTGACATCTCTGTCGTATTGCTCTACATAAGTTAGGCTGTAACATATATTCTTCAAGAGAATTCAAAGCAGTTATTATTATATTTTTATATCTAATAAAATCATCCTTATTAGCGTTTGAGTTGTAATAGGCTTTCCGTAAACCGCATACTATATTTTCAAAATAAGAAATAGAAGCCATTTCAATGGAAATGCGCGTAGGATAACTACTACTAGTTATCATTGCTAAGAAAACTAGCGAAGTTGGCTGTTTCGAAAGACTGCGCTCTTTTCCAGTCGAGAACGGCTTTTAAGCACTATAGTGGCGCTGAAAGCAGCGGTTTCGGCGGTGTAGGCTGAAGAGAGGGTAGTATACGAAAGAGTGGGGTAAAGGTTTTATTTAATTTGAAATCATAGATAAATCGTAATAAATGCTAGAGAGAGAGAAGCACCTATACTATTAGGAATGCACCTAGTCAACATATAGCTTAGCCAGCGCACCTCAAGCTAGAAATGCTACGAGAGATAGAGAGCATCCACACTATACGGAGTACGCACCTAGCAAGCTAGAAACACTACCCCCTCTCCGAGGGCCCAGACTTGGCCGGCATAAGCTTACTAAGCGCCCTACTGTCGAAGGAGAGCGAGATAAAGGGATAGAGAAAGAGAGAGAGCAGCATATAACTTATCAAACACCCTACAAACTTCTACAGCGTCTTATCTTAATAACCTTTGTGGGTGGGAGAGAGGGGGGTGCACTCTATCGAAGGGTCCACTGGCAGACAAACAGGTGTCAAGTTATCGTGAAAACTCAACACCTTCATCGTGTGGCTTCTTTGTGTTTCAGGACAGACACATATCCCTTATGCATTGGCGACGTATCTTCAATGCAAAAGGTACATCGATTACCTTTTAGACACTCAGCGGAAGGTGTCAAAGGTACATCAAATCCGTTTTAGACGCTCAGCATGGGATCTCACCTTATAACGATAACATAGAGAGATGTCGCGGTAGCGCGATACCGCGATACCTTCATCGGGCGGCTTCATTGTGTCCCAGAACATACACATATCCCTTATACATTGGAGACATTCTTTGTCGGCTCCTCTGTGTCCCAGGACATACATTGGTTATCTACTGATGAATCATCAGGAGTAAGCTACGACAATATTTTGCTAGCAGATTAAACCCCCAAAATTTCTCCGTTATAATATCTTATACATTTTTACATTGGAGCCGCCAAATTGTAATTTAAAGGATGATATGTGTAGGGCATTTATCGTTATACTTTATGAAACAATAAATGGTAATATTTACCAAACTAAGATTTAAATCCCAGACCTTCGTGTTATTGTACTTTACCATTTTATGAATGATGGCTATTAAGGTAGATATGATTTTCTATTCTATATTACATGCAAAATAAAAAGTGTTTATGAATTATTCAATCATATTCAATGAACTATATATTTATTGGTAATATGGATAAATTGGAAAAGAAAATAATGTAAGTGAATAAAAGGAAATTTGTATTTTTTTCTTATCTTTTTATTTAGCCAGGATTGGGTCGTCGGTGTGGGACTTACCTAATTGGCCTACCGATTAAACCTCCCATCTATCTCTTTTGTCTGTATCCCCCGAAGAAACTGCTGCTAAGCATTACTTCACGGGTAAGGCGTAGGTTATATACATCCATCTTCTTCTTTCCGCATTGTCCGATAGTCTTTTCCTTTCGGCATTGTCTGATCATCCTATGGACAGACTCAACCTTGACATCTATGTTCCTCTACATTCGGTGAAGGAGTCTGAGCTCAACCCACGTTCCTCACTGACCTGCTAAGATAGAGGAACATTTTGAATTGGCTGGTATTTTGTTATCCTACAGACATGAGTAATCCTAGAGTCTATGTCCCTCTGCATCGGTTAGGTCTACCTGCTACTCTTCAATATCTTGGAAGCGCTCTTGTATTTCCATAGTCTGGTGCACCGCACTATCTATTTGCGATAGACCGACTGTGCCTGTGTATTTTTACGAGTATTGTAAAAGATTTCCACAGATTTTGTATGTATTCTTATATAAATTTCGAACATATTCTGTACAAAATTTGTATATTTATTTTCAGCAAGAACAACTTATCTTGATTGAATCTTTACTCAAATTGATATTATCTATTGTCTGTGTACTCTTGATATTGAAGATATTCAACTGATTGGTCATTACTTGGAAAAATTCGAAATTCGATTATAAAATAAAAACATGTATACTTCTATGTAAATGTATGTACATACATCTTCAAGGTGATATGTTTTTTGTTGTTAAATAACTTTTTGTTGAGTTATTAAATCAAATATTGAAAATCCTAGTTAATATAATTATACACATCTATAATAACATAATATATTCCTGACTTTTTAACTCCCTATTATATTTTATAGGGAAAGCACTCACTCAATTAGACATTTCACAAAATATTCTGACTTCAGTTCCATCTCTCGCTTTAAAGACATTACATCATCTTTTAATTCTCAATATAAATCATAACAGAATCAGTTCGATACACAGAAAAGCATTCGAGGGCCTGGACACCCTCGAAATTTTAACATTGTATGAAAATAAAATCTCATCGATTGAACCAGAAGGATTTAGAGGACTCGATAAGTGAGTGAAATATATTATTCTTTAAATATTATATTAGTCTAAATAGTTTTATTGATACTATTATATAACTATTTTAATGAAATGAAATAACATGGATGTGTGTATGCTCGTATATTCATTAGAAAGTCTACATCATCTTATGCGTGCTATATATGCCAGCCCCCATGCTATAAATAAATATTATTAACCCATTAAAAATGAGGCAAATACTGGCAGAGATGTCGAGAAACGAACTACGCTATCCTTTGTACAACCAAAAAAAAAGTACCCGTGTTTTTTCTTTTGTCGATTACAGTTGTTTATAAAAAATTATTTGAATAATATACCAAAAATTTCGGAATTTGGCAAAACTAAATGCGGATATTGATTCTACGGGCAATAAAACGAGAAAAACCTATCTAACATTTTTTTGTCAGAGTTCAATTTGTTAGTAACAGGAATAAATTTTTTGCATGTGAATCATTTTTTTCATGTCTTAGATGTGGACTTGCGGAATACCGTAGTGTCGCATGCTATAATTAGATTAGCTTATTTTTTTCAAAACTTTCCGTGTTAAGAGATCACGTTTGAGTGGCAGGCTAATGGTCGTACATCGACTGAAAAAACAATTATTTATTAACACAAGACTTTACATACAAGACTTTAGGAATAGAACTTTTCATAAAAATAGATCACATTATCTGTGTCCATAATGCCATTGATAATGTCGAGACGAAGAGTTAGGATTTACCTGAGTTAGTTTAGGATTCTGACATTGTCGAAGATCAATATGTCGATATTGCATTTGTTCCTGCTGATCATGAAATTTAACCCTGTTCAGATGGAAATTCGGAAGTTGATCTAGAAGAACATGTAACATCTCATAATCTTCCTACAAGTTCTTATTTACATGTGAAAAGTACTTACACAAGTACTTAAAAATTGTTGGAGCCGAATCATATTTACGATTGAAAAGATGATACTCTGAATAACATATCTTCTCATATCAAGAAAAACTCCAATCTGTCAGTTATACCTTCATTATTTTTGAAGAAATCCTTTGAATTATTCGAGTTGTTCTTTTCGGAATCGAAGAAAAATCACGTTGTGAAAGCTACTGCTGAGAATCATTTCAATTTGTTTAAAAATGATCTAGAAAAACTTATTGTAATCATAATGATTACTATTTTCAATTCTAGAAAAGGTCTTTATGATTATTGTTCAACAAAATGAATCCTAAGTGTCCAGTCATTTCTGAATTTATGACGAGAAATAAATTCGTTACCATCAAGAAGAGCATTCGATTTTACAAACATCACGATGAAAATTTATCTGACAAAGTTTGGAAAGTAAGAACGCTGTATGAAATGTTCCCTGGGAATTGCATGCAATTCGGTTTCTTTGACTACAACCTGTCGATAGATGAGGTAATGGTGAAATATTTCGGTAAATTTGGTATCAAGCAGTGTATCAGGAATAAGCCTATCAGATTTGGAATAAAGATGTGGGCACTTTGTTCTTCTGATGGCTACATTTATGACCTCGATATTTACACAGGTAAATCAGGGAATAACACATAAAATGTTTTAGCTTCTGTTGAATTGAGTTCAAAAGTAATACTACAATTACTTTCTACTTTGTTAGAGAAAACCAAAAATGAAGAATTAAGTAAGTACCACGTGTACTTTGACAACTTTTTCTCTAATCCAGACATAATGATACATTTGAAGAAGAATGGTTCATCATCATCAGGCACTGTCCAGCAGAATCGCGTGAAAGAGAAGGTCGAAATGCTAAAAAAAGCTGCAAGAGGAACCACTACTTCTAAGCATGAAGCAAATTCAGGATTAAATTTCATTACGGTAATGGATTCCAAATCCGTATCGATTCTTTCAACTACACATGGGGATGAACCAAAGATGGCGGAAATCGTCGAGAAATTCCATCATTTTCCCTCATTCTTTTTTATTGTACAATCATCATATGGGTAATGTCGATCTCCACGATCAATATTGTAATGCTGTAATAAGACAATATATGGTAGTTCCTTCTGCAATATTTTCTTTTGTTTCAAGTTGAACAAATATTCACTGAAAAATTTTTTTAGTATCTCATTTTGTTTAGAGCAATCAGTTACAAAGATTAGTATTAATTTATAAAGGTAGATTTTTTTAACAACGGTTCAGAGTCCATGCCGTAGTATACCTTTCGGAAATCGGCATACGTATCACACAATATTACAAATTGATATTCATTTATGGTAATATTAAATTTACCAAACAGATAATACTAAGATTTGAGAAAAAGTGTCATATTACTGAAGTTACAATGATCGACATAATTAGCATTAGCTGTTGGAATAATTTTTCGTTTAGTTTAAAAAGTTAAGATAATAGAACGTGATTTTTCAAACTGATTTGTTGTATTGACTGTCCATACATGTCTTGTTTTTAGAGGTAGTATTAGATATAATCGTGGATACAATTCCCATTGACAAAAACTCATCAAAATACTTCTTTGTCTTTGCAGAAAATCAAATAGATGACTTTTTGAGTATTTGATGTTGTAACATACGGCATAAACCATTTGATACGCGTTATATCGATCTTGAAATTTTCTAAAATTGTTTCTAGATTCATTACTTTTATTTTTTGAAAAACAGCATTTAAATCACTGCTCAATTGTGTAAAAATTAGAATATGTTTCATATTTACTAATACTTTATGATGACCAACATCTTCAGCAGATCCATGAATGAAGCTTAAAGATATAGTTATGTTAAAGTATTCACCTTCATGAATTATATTCTCTTCATAATTTTTCTTAATCCATCCAGTATTTTTAACATATCAATTTTTATTTGGATTGAGTTATAGCTAGTTTTTATAACAGTTATTAGATCAATGTTTTCACTTTTTTTGATTTCTATGACATTTAGCTTATACGTAATTTCCTTAAATAAGTGACAGCTAGCGTTTTGAACGAAACGAGTCTCCAATTTCATTATCTTTGTTACATAAGAGACCATAAATATGTAATGAGCTTTAAGATGGTAGAAAACACAAGTCTTGATATTGAATTGATTGTAAATCTGATCGCTATTTTTGTAGAAGGAATTGGTGTAAGGGTGATGAGTGTGGATCTCGTAATAAAACAAGAATTCATTGAAAAGACCACAGAAGACTGTATTTTTAGAACATTCTTCATTATTGCTTTGAAAGCAACAAAAAATAATGCAAGTTATTTTCCATCACGAACCATTCTGAAATCGTGACTTTTTAGAAATTTTACGCTTTGACGTGTTAAAATTTTCCGATGATGACGATTGACGACTGGATCTCTTAGGATAACGCTTTCAATTTCAGTCCATGGCTGTCAGTAGGTTTGCATATTCCAGTGCTTACATAGCTCCTCAAAATTTTTGAATTGTAAATGATTCTCAATATATATTTTTCAGATGTAATTAAGAAATTTATAGGTCAAAACATACAATAACTGATAGGATAGAAAACATACACGAACGTAATCCTTGAAAATACTTTTGAGAACTTCGTATTATTATTGTTGATAAAATTTTGTTATTGTTAATAACTTGGTATTGCTTTTTTATCAATACTAGAAGTACTACAAGCTTAATTAATAATCTGTTTATTAAATTTTGGCAATACGTAAATGTAATTACTATGATGACAAGTTAACATAATATGCAGTAGGATACTCCAGTAAGTATTCTGTATTTGTTTTTAGATTATTTGTATATCATATTATAACATCCTGTTTATTTTTCTTTTTTTATTCCTTCCCTGACTGTATGACTGTGTCTTGGTAACCCGTCAAGCATACAAATATTGGCTAATATAATGTATAAATTAAGGCGTTATCTCACCTATTCGTAAGTATGTATGAGAATGATAGTCCAAATTTCTAGCCATAGAAGGAGCGTGACGTCATTAAGGCTACATAAATTCTTTTGTTTAATAAAATAACTGTAGCGAATAGATATTTAAGTGAACAACGGTACTTTTTATGTCAACTTTTTATACGCATTAATCGTTAATTTTGTCTTGATATTTAATTTGTAATTATAATGAATCGATAATTTTGAAATAAACAATAAGTTTGCGAACCTCAAGATGTTTAAGCGAAAACATCAAATTAGGAAACACGAATAAGAATTTGACTAATTGATAATGAAATATTTAACTTCGTTATCAATATAAAAAAATCAAATTTGTATTTTCCAATAGCGATCAGACCATGCATACATGGTAAATTGTAAAACGAAGTTGGTCTAGTCGCAACTGTGTGACCAGAGCCGGCCAAAGTTACGGGCTATTTCTAATAGAATAGAGCATGTGGAAATAGAGGAATGGCAGTATCTCGGGTTTAGTACGCCTCCAATTGTAGAAGCATAGGATGTCGGAAGCTCGTCACTAAGGAGCGTTTCCAACTATTAGATCCTGAAATGGCGGAGATTTAGTCCGAGATTTAGTTTAGAGAGTCTGGTCATCGATGCCCCAGATTTTTGCTGTGTATCAATTCCGCTTTCGCGTGGCTGCTTTCTCCTGCAACGCGGTTATTTTCCACTATTGCCGATATTCTGCTTCTAAACCTCTCCAACCCTCGTACTGGTGGCCTCGGCTAGCTCTTGCATTCAATTTATTATCACAGGGTTGGATTGCGAAACAAATTAAGAGAAAGAATATATCTGCCTGCAAAATTTTGCAGCGTTTTTTCACTTGAAGCATGACAGAATGAGGTTGAAAATAAACGAAGTAACGTAGCTTCCTCTACAGTTACTGGACAGTAACCTCTTCATGAATCAAATAATAGCATTATTGTAAGTCCCACATTAGGAAAATATACTTCTTTCAACCATGTTTTGAAGAGACCTGTAATTTTTTATTTAAGATTTTATATTTCCAATACATAAAAAATTAGTTTACCTGAATTCAGTTTTCCAGATTTTGAAGCAGCAACATGCATGTTTGTAAGCGTGAATATTTTTTGTGATACGGTTG